TACATGAATATATATATATATATAGTGCGATATTTATGTAGTGACCTGTTGTTAAAGCAATCCGAAATTGTTTCAGATATTTGATTTGCAAAACGTTCTTTTAATCATTTTTTATACTTAATTAGTTCTTTAAAGTAAACACATTCTTTAAATATTTTAAACTTGAAAGTTTATTTTTCAGCAGACATCATTTTTCAGAATAGATGAATGTAAATGCACTCCTGTTGAAAAAATAAGCAACAAAAACAAAATACGGAATAAAACAAAAACTAATCAATGAATATGCGTGGAATTAATTCAAGCGGTACTAGACCAGAGAGCAAACATTAAAGCAGAGATATGCTAAAAACACACGAATCATCACATCGCGATAGACCAAATGGGTCGGAAGGATGTACAACGGAAACATCAGGCTAATAACAGGTGTGACACTCTCTAACTGAAACGCATACTTCACAATGGCAAGGTAAACTGGCAAAAGTGTTGTACAGTAGAACGCTTGTTGTAGAGTACAGGGAGTTGTACTGTACTGATCGCTTGTGTACAGTAGAGCTCATTCCTGTATAAATACATATCGGAGATCATGGAGCGTGCCTGGAGGCACGCAGTAACCTGCTATTTGTCGTTCCAACATGCCCCACACATACTATAAGAGATTCAGGTCTAGTGGTCTAGCAGACGACGTAGGTATGAAATGGTTTTATTCTCCAGATAACTCCACACCACTCGAGCTCTATGCAGGTGGGCGTCATCTCCCATGAATATCGCGTGAGTAGTTATTGTATCAATAAAAGGACTCACAAGAGGGTGTAAAATTTCGTTGCGGTATCGGACGGCTGTGACAGAAGCACCGGGGATCACGTAGACTTCGGTGCTATCCCAGCCCATGCAAGTAGGCCTCCTCCTCCGTAATAGTCTCCTTCGACGATATCTGGCCCCCGATATCGAGCACCTGGCTATCGCCATATCCTTGTCCCACGAGATTCATTCTGGATGTTAAATCAAGACTCATACATAAAGAAAATGTGGCCCCACTGCGTTGCTGTCCAACTACGACGTTCACAAGTCCAGTGCAACCGCGCTCTGACATACGATGGGGGACAAAGTATTATAAACCACAGATCGTCGGGCGTACCGTCCACCTTCATGCAGTCTACGCGAAGCAGTTTGACGGATATAGGCTGTCCTTCAGTAGCAGAGAGAGATACGACACCAGCTGTCTTGCACTTAGCAAGAGAAAACGATCATCTGCTGTCCTGGTAATTCTCTAGCGTCCAGTGTCACGTCTCCCACATGAATTTTAATTCCTTTGGTAGCGATTCCACAGCATATTGATGCTACTATAGTACTATGGCAGACTTCCAGCTCTCTTGCAATAGCATATTGTCCTGCACCAGCTTGCAACATCTCGACAGACCTCAAACGCACCCCCCCGGGAGTCGACTCAGAATTCTGGGAAAGTACTGCTTAGTACCTAGGCGGACACGGGAACACATAATCAGTATTCAGCGGTCTAAAGCCATCGCTGTCGAAGATTTGTTCAGGCTCGGCAGGGACCATATGGTACTGTCTTGTACGTTCCCTTTGATTGTGGTGGATGTTAGTGACTGTCTTTGGAGGTCTATCTCCATTCCGTGCTTAGACCAGGAGACTGCATGAGTAGGGAGCGCCCTACTGAATTATTCGGTTGTGGTGCCAGAGCGCAGTGACGTCTTAAATTTCTTTCTTTTGTTTTGCGTTTTGCGACTTCAGTGCTTTGTATGAAGCCTGGAGGAGGCTGCGGGGCTGCGCCCGAATGGATGGTCTTCGGAGGTCGGATGTAATACCTAAATGACTTGGATCCAATTTGGGAGCTCGTGTCTGCCTTTCATGTCCCCTTTTTACATTCGTACTTTTTCTTTTAGCGTCTGTTGCTAATTTTTTGAACACGAGTGTGTAATAATATGTGTGCATACTAACAGATCCTTTTGTTTTGACGTGTACAAAACCTATAAAATATTACGAAAATGTGTTTCCAGAAAAGCACCTTATATTATGAGTTTATGGCCAGTATTCTGACTCCTATTATATTTTCCTGCGGATGCATGATTTATTCAGGAGCAGACGAATGTCATATAACTGTTCTTAAAGAGGCTTTATTTTATCTGAATGTTATGGTATTTTCTCAAGAGATAGACACAAAATATCCACTTTACAACTGTTTTGTTCAGTTTATTCGCAATAAAAAATAGGAATGATGAATTATTTTTACCTCAGTGACAAAACAAAAGAAGACTGCTAAGTATTGGTAATTCCATCCAAGTTAAAGTACCTTACAAATCAACTACCCGAATGAGCTTTTGCGCGATTTTCTCCATTTGTAACGTGAATACGGGCCAGTTTCCATTAAAACTTTCCCAACAAAGGCATCCGTTTCCTTAAGCAGATAGACCGTGTGTTTCGTCATAGTGACTGATTTATTGTTTACTCATAATGAGCAATTACTATGAAAATTATTATTTAATTATTTTTTGCAGTGGTAATGTAACTGTAAAACAAGTTGGCAAGCAAAACAATAAAAATTATAGCTAAGTTAAAAAATTTCGATAACTGTGGAATCATTTAACCTTTTGAACTTGGCGTTCTCTTGTTGAATTTCTTCTTTTCATTTTATTTTTTTAGATGAAAGACATTACTTCTCCATTATTCAAACATCTAACGAACTTAATTTAAACAAAAATCAAATGTTAATCTTTACACGTATTTCGACAGTCAGTCAGTCTGACGAAAGTCAATCTTTTGAAAGACGTGTAGTATTTTAAGGAATATTATACATGCATGTTTTCGAAGGGTAACTGAGTCTTTTTATGGTATATCCTTCGAAATACCGTTCTTTTTGTTTCTTTTACTTTCATGGGTGAAATATTTCTTTAAAAGGAACCAAATAACTGTTAGCAAATTATAAACAATCTGATTTCTGTAAAATGTGATCGAGTGTTGGTTAGTTATTTTGTTAACGCTCTTTCATTATATTATTGACTAATGCATAAACTTGTGTATGGTATTTTTGTAGTGTTTCTAACTTTACGTTGTTATGTAAAGTGCTAGGCTTGGACTTGGAGACCAAATTAAAGACTTGGAGACTAGCAAAACCTTAAACATTTTGCAGAATTTTCCTTCTAAGTATTAATTGTCACTTTACAAATCTTTATATTTAATCTCTCATTAAATTGATCACTACGGAACTTACATATAAGTGTTCTTAAAGAGCAAGATATATTTATTCCAAAAAATACGAGGTGTGACACAAAAAAAGAGACTAACTTGAAAACAGAGTGGAGTTGGAAACAACTGTTTTTGCCATACACCTTCTCTATCCATGCGGCCAGTTTCAACTTCCAATGGAGAATACTGCGTCAATGGAGACCAATGGAGAATACCGACTACGCCAATGGAGAATACTGCGTCAATGGAGACCAATGGAGAATACCGACTACGCCAATGGAGAATACTGCGTCATTGGGTGAACACGTGGAACTGCATTCTGCCGGAAAAATGTCTAATGTAAAAACCGAACAGCGAATCAACATCAAGTTTCTTGTGAGACTTAAGAAATCAGCCACGGAGGAAACATTTCAAGTGCTAACCGAGGCTTTTGGAGATGGCACTTTGTCTTATGCACGTGTGTTTGAATGGCATAAGCAGTTTTAAGGAAGAAAGGACAGTGTGTAAGATGATGAACGTACTGGGTACCCTCTTGGGCGTTCATCGTGATTGAATGGTTCCCAGTGGTCAGACTGTTAATCAATACTACATTGAAGTACTAAAATGACTTCGTGAAAAAAAAACCCACAGTTGTGGAGTAATAGATGCCTGTTGCACCAGAAAATGCACCCGCTCACACGGACCTATCTGAAAAGCAGTTTCTGACCAGCAAAAACATTACTGTGATGGGTCATCCTTCTTATTCACCTAATTTGGCTCCATGGAACTTTTTTTTTATTTCCTAACGTTAAATCTTACTTAAAGGGAACCCATTTTATCTCAGCTGTAGAGGTTCAGGCAAAAGTGATAATCTCCTGAAGGGCCTTCCGAAAACCTCGTTCCAGAACTGTTACCAGTAATGGCACCACCGAATTCAGAAGAGTGTGAATGCTGAAGGGAACTACTTTGAAGGTAATAATGTCAGGGATAACTTATTCTGCTAGTACAAGGATTTATTGGACCAGTCTCTTTTTTTGTGTCACACATTGTGTAGGAATATGATAGTTTCATAAGAGACGAGAATCTACGCAGTAAATGAATAAATTAAAATACCTTTTCATAAATGATAATAATATGTGCTTTGCAAAGCAGCGTTGTACAAAAAGCTTTCAAAGGTCAGCAAACTAATTTATTAGACACAATTTTTTCCAATGTATAAAATATATTTAGTATATTCGGAATAATAAATCAAATTCATAGCTTAAAGCAATACTGATGACAAGTGCATTTAAGTCAGTACGAAACTTACTAAATGTTTTGTTTTTGTAATAGAAACTTCGAGATGACTGATATTTTCAACCTCTTATTTACTATGAATCCAAAGTCTTTCAATATTTGCGTAACATTCATTCTTAAGTAGCAAAGTAGTTCATTGATGTCTCTTTAACTATTTTTTTAAATTGTTATTTCCTTTGTTGTTAGATGGCTGTTATGTTGGTGTCATTAGTTTTATATTACTTAACTGACCAAAGCTGCGGCTACATGAGTTTTGATTCTTATTCGTTATAGTTTACAAATAAATGTCAACTATATGCTTACAAAATAAACTGCGGGAATTGATCAATAATTGGGTTTAAACTAGGGCAAACAAATGAATATTGTGTTAAAACAGTCCGATTGTATTAAAAACAATGTTATTTATTTTATATATCTGTTATGTATCTGACTATGTACCTTACTATGCAAAATACTTGATTCTTTGAAAAGAAAACTGAATGTTTCATTAGTTCATATTACAAGTTTGTAACATTTTGCAGGTACAATATAAAGAATGCTTTAACAGCTAATGGGAAGATATCAACATTAACTGCATCTAATCCCGACAGAAGAGATTCTGCACTTTTTTCATGTACAGCCATGAATGCTTTTGGAAAAGATGACACAAATATACAGGTTCTCGTCGAAGGCAAGTCGTAATAAATTTCACAAAATTATATTTCCATGACTAGTAAATATGTATAGAAGTCCATTGTATTTTTACATATGTATTTGCCGCCCAACCGGGATAGTAGTCTGCGACGCTGACTGCCGTACCGAAGGGCCCGGGTACGGCAGTCAGCCTGGAGAAAGCATCAATGTTTGTAAATATAAATAGTGTCTGTGCGGCATAGAGGCACTCCAAATATGCTGCAAGCCGAAAGTCCTCTCGAGAGGTTATAGTGGGAGACGAGGGGGAGACCTTCGCACTTGCTCTCCCCCCCGAGGTTGGCTTACTCTGATGTCAGTAACCTGATCTCAAGTTACTGCCGATCTGCTGCGTGTGGTGTTGCTGGCCGTGATCGTATAAAGTGACGATACTAAGAATATCAAGTACAAATTAATTTTGCGTAAATACTTAAACTAAAATTTGGTGTTTAGTACATTGCTTAATCATTACTAAATAGATTAACAAGACTTACCCACTGATGCATGCATGAGCCGATTATTTTCTTTTTCCAATCTCATATTTATTTCAATACACATACTTTCTGGATTAAATAAGACACATTTATCACACACATATATATAAATACTCAAATATCATAACTTAGATACACGCAATGCGACAACTCAAATGGAATGTCCGTGGAGTGCCGAGGCGTGACTATTCGCGCAATCCTGTCCCATCGAATAATTTTGCGGTTGAAACGTGGTCAATTTTATCTTCGTATTATCGCGCTGTCTGGTTACACACTTATAAGCTCTTCTTTTTTTCTTTTTACATTCATATGATTTTTACACACGTCACACGTGGTGACACATTGCTGGTCAAGCACATCTTGAAGTCGAACAGTTACTTATATTCTGCTTGCGCGTTTATTTTATGTTATTCACAAAGCAAACATCTACTTTAAGTACTGGATTTCTTCATTCTGCTTCTTTCTCGGCAAAATTAGGCAGGAACAAATGGCGACTGCTGAGTGTGTGTGGCCCGAAGGCCCACACACTCGCAAAGCTCGACGTCAGGCAGCAAGAGGGGAAAAACGAAAAAGAGAGAGACAAACCAGTCCTTCCAGTTTTTATACCTTTCGACGCACGTGCTCGCGCGTGATAACGATACAAGAATCGATGTAGCCACAATGTTCTTACATTCCCTCCGGCCGAAGAAAAAAAATTGTCCCATCACTGGACAAATGAAATCCCTCTCTGCTGGACACACTTGAACTTTCGTCTGCATTAGATACACATTGCACACCAATCTTTACATCATTTGCAAAGGCACTGCACTTTATGATTTCGTTGGTACTCCATACATTCCTCATTCTATGAACACAGTTGAGCTTTCGTATGCACTATCACACATATTTCACGTTAATATTTCACATTGCTTGAAAAAAAAAACAGCATTTTAAACATTTTGTGATATATATTTTTTACATTAGTATTATTCTTCTACGTACTCATGCATGTCTACTCTTTCCTAAAATATCACCACAGATGCGATTCCAGGCAATGAAAATTTGGCATTTAAGACACATAATTTACAATTCACATATGATTAAATATCCAATCAATCACTTAAACTAAGAACATTTGCATTATCAATTTTGATGGAACTCCTCTTAACCATTGTTTACCTTATTTCATTCTTTACATTTTAGAATCACATTCACTATTTCATTACATAGCTACTTTTATCATTTGATCATATTCATTTTACATATACATTTCATATACCAATATGTCATGACATTGTTACAAGCTACATTTGTATTAGATCCACTACTAAATTACATACCTTCAATTTGATTCAGCAGTAAGACAAGGAGATTTGAACCACACTCTTTTTTTTTTTTTGAATCTGCTACCTAGTAATCAATGAGACCCTGCATAGTACAATTCAATTCTTCTGGTATATGGACCAGCCAACTCTACCAAAATCGTGCAATTAGCGCTTTATTACACTAAATTGACCCATACCACACATGATCATCATTCATTATCTAGCTTGTACACATGCTACATTCTTATCATAATCACAACTTCTTTACACTTTTTTTTTTTTTTTTTTTTGATTTGCTGATCGACAATTTACAATTGTGTTACACTCCTAATCCTCATTTTGTGTTGAATCTACTCTTGAAGGCTTTTGTAAAAACAATTTACTTACGTGAACTTTAGTGGTTTTATTCTCTAATTGTATTATATAATTATCATTTCGTAGCTTTTTAATGATCTCATATGGCCCCTTCACCCTTTGATCAGTAAATTCCTGCATAAAAACTTTATCCCCTGATTTCAATTCTGGAATTTTTCTCCCTTTCAAATATTTTTTTGCACAATTAAAGTATTCATCCTCATTTAATTTTACTTGTTGCTTATCTCTACTCAATTGTTCCTTTATTCTTTTGGAATATTCCTGGAAATCTTCTGCTAATTTAAGAGGATCATTGCTATCTATTTATGGGAGTATTTAATGTTCTACCGAAAAATAGTTCTGCTGGTGAAAATTGAGTTACAGAATGTTTAGCATTATTATAATACAGTTTAAACATCAGTACTTTTTGTGGCCATTCAAATATTTTGTTTGATATTGCTGCAATTGATTCTTTCATTACCCTGTGAACTCTTTCAATCAACCCATTGGACTGTGGATAATAAATTGAACTTTTTCTGTGTTCTATTTTAAGCGATTTTAAAAATTGAGTAAATTCTGTGGAACAAAAATAGGAACCGTTGTCTGATAACAAAATTTTTGGAATGCCAAATCTGGCAAAATAATCATTTAAAGATTTTATGATGGATTGAGAAGTGCAGTTGTTTAACGGAACTGTTTCCAAATATCTGGAATAATGATCAATGATAGTGAGTACATAAAACTTATTATCTATGGATCTTGGCAGTTTACCAACTATGTCTATAGCTATCATCTCTCCAGGAGCAAGATCTTTCTTAGGAATTAGACGTGGCAGAGTGTTGTGAGGTCTAGACTTATTTTGTAAGCAATCTGAACAATTTTCTACAAAACTTTTCGTATCGCTGTACATACCTTTCCAATAATACTTTGCCTTTACAAACTCATATGTCTTTTGAATACCAAAGTGAGGCGCATGAACTGTCTGTAATACATCTTTAATTAATGCCTTAGGAATTAGAATTTTATTCTGGATACTTCTGTCTTTCTTTCTCATATTTACAGGTTTTAATTTTATCATTACTACATCTGTATGACTATCAATAAAATATTGTTCTACACTTTCTTTGTGGTTATCCTGTAATTTTTTTATAATTGATTTTATGTCTGGATCACTTTGCTGTTTACTAATTATGTTTTGAATAGACAAATTATCATTGGTCCTTAAATATATTTACATTGTTTACCACTACATCCTCTGAAACTCTTGACAAGTAGTCTGCTGGGTTTTTTTAAACCAGGAATATGCTCCATCGTGTATTGAAATTCCTGTAAATATAACAACCAACGTGCTACAATATCTGGCTGTTTGTCAAGACTAATATGGAAAGTCAGAGGTTTAGCATCCGTTAATATTATAAATTTTTTTCCCATACAGATGTTCGTGAAATTGCTTTACTGATCTGAAGATTGCATAAAGTTCTCTCCTAATTGAAGGATATCTAGCCTCAGCAGGTGTTAAAATTTTTGAGTAAAATTGTACTGGGAAAAACTTTTCATCAGATTTTTTTGCATTAATATGCCACAAATGGCTGATCTAGAAGCATCGGTTACTAAATATAAAGGTTTATCATTTTCTATGTTTTTTATTGTGGGTTTTTCTAAAATTAATTCTTGTATTTTATCTAATGCATTTTGGCATCTCTCGTTCCACACGAATGGTATATTCTTTCTTGTTAAATTTACTATTGGCTTGACAATTTCTGCATAATTAAAAATTAAGTGTCGAAAATAATTTACCATGCCTATGAATGTTTGAACCTCTTTCACATTTCTTGGCCTAGGAAATTTGGCTACTTTCTGAATATTCTCCTCTGAAGGAGCAAAACCATTCTTATTAACCGAAAAACCTAAATACGTAATCTCTTGTTTACATAACTGCAATTTGGCTGGGTCTAATGTTAAATTAAATTTTTTTAACTTGTCAAACACCTTTTGTAAAATAATTACTAGTTCATTTATACTGTTAGCTGCAACAATTATGTCATCTAGAAAATATTGTAAATTTGGACCCTGCAATTCACCTAAACATTTTGATATTAGAGTATGGAAATAAGCAGATGAATTTTTTGCACCAAAAGGTAACCGAGTTGGTTGAAAATTGCCAAGTTCCGTGCAAAAGGCTAATTTTTCTTTATCTTTCTGATCTAACTTTATTTGAAAAAATGCTGACTTAAGATCTAGCACACAATAATAACTTTTACCTGCTATATTATGCAAAATATCTGAAATCTTAGGTAGACATATTTGATATGATTCAGTTATGCAATTTAACAATCTATAATCTACTGCCATTCTAAATTTTAATTTGCTAGGATCAGTATTAGGTGGTGCTTTCTTTTTGACAAAAATTACTGGAAAACTGTAACTCGATGTCGATGGCTCTATAATACCTGCTTCTAACAATTTGGCTATCTCCTCTTGGGCATATTTTTTAGCAATGCGAGGAATAGTGTATGGTCTAGTTTGAATTGGAAAGTTATGTAATAAATTAAATTGTGGCACGACAGCATCAGTCTCACCCAGAGTGGTGTAAGATTTTGAAAACACAGCTGAATTTTTCATGAGCATTTCAATCATCTTATTTTTTTGTTCTGCTTCTAAATGACTTAAATCAAAATCATCTGGGCTTAATTCCTCCTTTCTTAATTGTTTAATTTCTTTTAAAGTTATATGGTTAATCTGCAAATTTTGTTGCTCTCTAGGTTTTTCAAATTGTTTTTCTTCGACTTTATATACCTTACCAATCTTTTCACCCTTTCTTAGAATAATTGCGGAATTGGAATTGTTTT